GGCGCTCGCCCATGGCCGGCGGCAAGTGGGCCGCGAGAGAGCGGCGGAGGCTGAAGGGGGAAAACGGCCCCGGTGGCGGCCGCTCCTCCTCCGCGGGGCGGGACGGGGCGGGCAACGGCGGGGGCTGGGAGCGGGCTGAGGGCGGCCCCGGCCCCGCAGCGCCCTCCCGGCAGGCGGAGCGGGGAGGGAGCCGGTCCCGGGGCCGGGCGGGCGGCCTGCAGGCCTCCATCGCTCCCCGGGCCGGCGGGGACGGAAAGCTGAGGGAGGGAGCGCTGTTCGCAATTGATGGTCTTATTTCGTAGGGAAAAAAAACCAAAACAACCACCAACCTCCCCCCCCCCCAAATGAGGAGAAAAGCCTAGGCAAGCCTCTGAGAGACGATAAGGGAAGATGAACTAGTGGAGGGAGTTAACTATTGTAAATATTTAGTGAGGAATGCAAACAGAGTTGCAGTGGGGAGCGGCGGCTGTCACCGGGATACAACCTCAAGTGTCTATTATTGGCCACAGGTGGGGACTCTAAAAGCGTACAAGAAAGAGCAATCTGTGTATTAAAAGCCTTTTTTAATCCACCCTGAGCCATTAACAGACCTCAGAATACCCTCCTGTAACTGTGTAACAGACATAGACAGTGGGAGGGTCTCACAAGGGCCCATGAGCACAGACACCATCAGCACTACAGGTGCTTCTGTCACTTGTACACGGGGAGATTCCATGCAGAGCTGGGAACCATCCCAGTTCGTGGTGTCCTCTTCCATCCTCATCCCAAAGCCAGGCAGGCCCTCAGGCCCCTCTCCTGTGGACATGAGGGTCATTTACCAAAACAATCAAATAGTCCGTAGGAAAAACAGACTAAAAGTCCCACCCTGGGAACCCAGGTTCATGCTGAACCCTGCCTGGTTCAGTATGAAGACCTGAAATCAAAGACACAGATCTAAAAGCAAACACCAGTAAGCGAGAACTAGAAGTTTACAAGCACCAAGATCTGCCTCCTGCAGCTTTTTTACACCTTCTGAGAGGAGCTCACGCCTCACACCAGGGCAGGGGGTGAGGAAGGTTCAGCAGTGAGATCTGTGCTGCTGTGACTGTGCTGGTCCTAAGCATGAGAACAGCTCTGGTTTTCTTCTTCCATCAAGTTTTCTGAGGAGCAGAAACACACGCCTAAGCAGCAAATTACTGAACAGCACACATGAAACACACAGAGTCAATGAGAAAAGGTGGTTTTGCACAAGCAACATCTGCTGTTACCTGACTGCTGCTCTTCCTGAGTCAGCCTTGAAGTTTTACTACCCAGAGATACCCATACACATTGCTTAACATTCACATCCAACAACAGCTCCACTCACTGGTGTACTGAGTACCAGGGATTCCACCTTTTTTTTTGTCCAGAAGACAAAGAAATCCACTTAGAGGAACAGTAATTGATGTAGAGCAAATCCAACTGACCCATTAACACTGACAAATTATATCGCTGTGTGTAATACAGAGTGTGATGGTGAGGGAGAGGGAGACACATGAGTTTCAGGGGCAAAACCAAGAAGCACTATAACTCAAGCACAATAATCATATTAAATAACATTGACCCGCTCATCGGTTGTCTTAGCCCCCTAACCTGATTATTGTGGCTGCTGTTCCAAAATCCCCCAGGTAAGGAATTGTCCTGTTGAGTATTTGACAAGGCTTAAGAACTACCACAAATTAACATATTCAAGAAGTTCAAGTGTTTGGGGATAACTTCTTGGAAGTCACTCCTGCGCTTTGACAGATGCACAGGCACAGCAAAGGTCTACTTACATGGTGCCTAAAGATTAATATACAAAGGAAAAATACTGTAAAGGAAAAATAATGCAAGGATTAACAAAACAGCAGTTAGCTGCTCTTGCACCTCCACAAAAAATCCACCAATTTCTATTAGTTTTGTTTTATATAAATTAATTACATCATGTACATGATACTGAAATACAGAAAAGCACTTGTGGAACTGTAAAATCGTTTACAATAAACAAACATACATATGAAATATAGCATTCTGCACAGTTTTGCAAGATTTCAGAGTACTCAGCTGTGCCTACAACATTCTGTTTAGAACAGCCTCTCCCCGAGGGGTGGTGGGAGCTGTATTCATTCCCTAGCTCCTAACTCCCAGGGACGCCCCGGTCCCCACAGCCCTTTCCCTGCACTCACTTATGACAAACGTATGCATTGGGAGCTGGGGAGGTGTTTCTGTGTGGGGAGAGACTCTGATCCACAGGATCACATCCACTGTCACCTCCTTGAAGGCATGGTGGTACTTC